CGATAAAGTTAGTCCGATTTACGTCGGGTTTGGACTCATTTCAATCAGCAAAATTTCAGCAATCCATCGGTAGTACATTTGGAAAGGTAAAGTTAAAATTACTGCAATTGAAATTTCGTCCATTGCATGAATATATTTGACTCGTACGGCGTCCGTTTGAAGTTCCGCGCCTCGACCCATGAGTTTTTATGGAAAAAGAAGCGGATAAATGTGATATTTAGCGACGAACAGAAATTTAATTTGGATGGTTCTGATAACTACAATTACTATGTCCACGATCTAAGGAAAGAAAAGCAATATTTAAGCTGTTGACAAATGGGTGGCGGTAGTGTTATAGTGTGGGTCCGTATTGGATATCAGGAAAAAACTGACATAAAGGAGGGTATTAAAAATAGACGATTTTTGGGCGACCCGCACAACAAAAATTTTGTTACAGCAGGATTTTTCAAACCCTAGGGAACAAAAAGGTTACGTACCATTATTCCTGAAGATGTCGGGAAAATTATGAGAAATGCAGTTGAAGATAAGTATTTGATAATGGTTATAACTCATTTGTTTGCAACTTCACTGTTTCGATTCCTATTTCTAATAGTGTACTCGCATGTTGCTTACTTAGGAGCCCGTATTAAGTGCTTTTTACAATGGATTTTTCTCAATATTTGTTCATTAAGTTGTTAAACATTATTAAAATACCACTTAAACAGAAAAATACGATATTTTTTCACGAAACTAATAACTCTTCATTCTATAAATATTAAATGTTATAGAAAACCATCGTAAATATTAGGTCGCAATATGTTGTTATTCGTTATTCTCGCTTTCTTCGGATAATGAACCATACGTGAAATAACTGTTCAAATATGGTGCAGAAAGGTCACTTTTTATAGCCTATCCAAAATACCCTAGAATCGTTGCTACACGTGAGCAATGTCCCACAACTCGTTCACCTATCTTGCATCAACATGTGTGTCCGATAAACTCATAGAGTCCGTTTTTGCTTGTATCCACCAACACAAAGTGAATCACAAAAATATTTGGACACTAAGGTATGCTTGACTTTAATTACCTATATTTTTATTAATTATGAAAGAAATTAACTCAAATTTTTTTCTTTAAATAGAGTATTTATTCGTTGAACGAATGTCAATTAATATAATCAATGTTATTAAGGCCACTTATAGCCTTCACGTTTCATCCGGGTCCTTAGATTACCATAGCTTTAGATTTGTATACATTTTATCTCTCCTTAAGAGTTATTTATACACTCTTTAGATTTCTTTAACAATAAAAGCCTTCGTCCCGTCGCGACTTGCAACCGTCCTTTCAGCATTACGAGAAGGGTCCGTGGCAGCCATAATCCATGAACCCATAAGGCCCGCGATCCTTACTGCAGCTTTTCTCTGTCTATTGTCCACGTATGGCATCCAGCCATCAGCATTTCTAACTCTCTAGTCCGTCTGTTTTAGCATGTGTTATTAAGGCCAACGCGTTTCTTGTCTTTTACCTGGCACGGTCAAGGATTGCAAACGGGACGAATTAGTTAATAACATTAGCAACTAGGAAGGCCCAAGAAGGGAGGGAACTTTGTCTCACTTCCACAACCCTCTACACTTACAAAAACCAACCAGAACGTCTTCACCCCCGCTAAGACGAATCTACCGAGGCATCGTCGAATACGATTCTGGGAGGTTCAGACAGTAGGAAGTCAGATCACAGACAGTACATATGTTAGAACATAACAAGTCACAACAAGAACCTAGTCATACCTTAGCATCTACTCATTCCCTAAGTTTTGTTCCCCATTATTCGGGCGATCCTTCGGGAAAGATAAAGTTTATACGTCGGCACACCGTGAGCTTGAGGCTTGGAAGGCAGTTGTTTTCAATTGCTTTATTCTGAATAACTCTGCCAATTGTTTTATGATTGAACTCACAAAGTTATTTCCTTGATTGGTTAAAATATACTTGGGAGAACCGTAACGCGATATAAATTCCTTTGCTAACGTTGTTGCTATTATCTGTGCTGTTGTGTGGGAAAGTGGATATGCTTCACAAAATTTCGTTAGATTGCATTGTACGGTTAGTATATTGTTGGAGTTTCATACAGACAGAATATAGTAGAACAAGAGACTGTGGCGGTCGACGCGGACAGCCACGAGCGTAGCGTAGCAGCGCGGACCGTGGAGAGAGTCGGTCGTGTGTTCGATCGTCAGTTGTCTCCAGCGTGGATCCCAAAAAGTCTATAAAAGGACGGGTCCACGCTGGACGACGACTAGAGTTGTGTAAACCTATAAGCGCAGCATTACGGCCCCATTCCGTGTAAAATTGGGAGGTCCTTCGACAATAAGTTTAGACGGCACGAAGTGCAATAATTAGTGTCTTGACCGTACCCTGACATATATACTTATTTCCGTTCGCAGATGTGGGTAAGGGACCCACAATATCTAAAGCAACTTTTTCAAAAGCGTCTGTTGGTGTATCGGTAATGACCATTGGTTGCTTGGTTCGAATTCTGACTAATTTTTTTCTGGCAACTATTGCATCTTTTGATAAACTCCTCTATGTCGTTCCTCATATTTTTCCAAAAATAATTTTCGCGAATCCTGTTAAAAGTTTTTGTGATACCTTTGTGGCTCCCAATTGGCGTTTCGTGGTTCTCGCAGATTATGACTTGCCCTTTTTTAGGTTAGGAATTACTGTGTTATCTAAGCATATTAGTATCGTCATTTCGGAATTCTCAATAAATCTTCTATGCTAACAGCTATAGATTTTACATTCTGTTTTATGCAAATGTGTTTTAAACTATTGAGTGTTTTAAAGAGATTTTCTTGTGTTGGAATATCATGCTCCTTATCTGTTATAATCAAACTAAAAATGTATTTGTTTCTCGTATTTATAACAATTATCTCGCCGATCGAGAGTGTTTGATGTTGCAAATCGTTTTCGTTTAGTAACTTCTTAGCTATTAACGTGTTTGTGGTAGGCGTAAAATTTCCGTTGTCGGCTGATATAAAGTGTACGTAATCATTATTCGTCATAAAAATTGTGTCGTTCGTCTCCGAAACGTTTGATTTATCCGTTACATTTTTGTAGTTTCTAATGTAGTCGGCGAAATCGCTATTATTGTGGTTCCCGTCTGTTGCTGTAACTGACGTCACTGTGAATTTAACGAGTTATTAACAAAAATAGTAAGGCGCTTGTCGTTACGACAAAGCAGAACAGATTTTACGTGACGAGTACTTCTCAGGATCCATATGGGTACGAATACTTATACCTTCGCGAGTTCCTCAATTTGAGAATTAAATAGCGTACGTATGCAATTACTGTCTCGGTTAGAGGTTCGTTGCGGAGAGAAAAAAAGACAAGACGTAGGTTTTGAAGGATAATAGAGACTGCTTTATTCAGGGTCTTGGCCTCCTTTTATACAAGATCGTAGGGTCTTTTGATGAGGCTAGCTGTTTGGTCTTCATTGTCACGGTTTATGACACGATCGCCCAGGAAAGCTGTTTTTGAGTCAGGATTTTGTTAATTACTTGCAGCTGTCGTTCCCAGTTCTTAGCGAAGGCAGTTAAATAATTTAGTTAATTTTAACGGTGCCTTTCGCCCCCGACAGCTCGCGGACATGTCATAAACCAGCAATTTCCGAAGGGTACACATATGTTTGTAACGGTACAAGGACCGAAAGGACAACCCGGAGGAAACTTCCCCGTGTTGCCAAACGTTCCGTCCTGCACGGACACTGTCTCCCATCCTTTCAGAACAGGGCGCGCTAAGGGCGTACAGAAGGGCGTGGGTGACATTTCTTAGGCACGCTGATTGGTCCCTAGAATTTGGAAATTTTCCTCCGATCAGCGTGCATCTATCGGTGCGTCCGGGGACTTACAAAAAAAAACCGGGACCGAGAGAGTCTACGAAAGAAAACGATAGAGAACCGAAGTCAATTCACTAGCAGTCCGGGTCCGTTCAGTGGTCCTTCGAGAAGGTATTAACGTCGGCACACCACGTGCAAAATTCAACAAAGCTCGATAGTGGCGACTACCACGAGCATTTAACATTGGTCCTTCGAGCCGGATCCTGCGACCTAAACGGATCTGTCAACACGGAATCGAGGAACATCCTGTCACCACGCTACAACCAATTTGGATCTTGGACCATTCGCCACAATTGGTTGTGTGACAGCAGGGCTACAACGCTCTACGTCAACACTAGAAGTCTGAGTGAGACCCAAGAGGACTGCAACAATTGGACAACTTGGCTATCTGGAGCAACTACCGGACATCCCAATAGTCATCCAGGAAGGATTCCGTGCACCTCACCGTAGAACACAGCAACACAGATCAGCCGAATCATGTGGACTGGACGAGCTAACGTCGCCATTCAACCCTTCCTTCCTTTGGTAAGTCCTTCCCAAGTTTACTTGCGTATTTCGTATACAACATGGAAGCTCAAATGAAACAGCTTATCGCGGAACGTGGGTCCCTTAAGGCCAGGCTAACTCGTTTCAAGCGCTTTATGGAAACCTCGGCTAGCGAAATGCACGTAGACGCGTTAGGAAAAAAGATTCAAGCATACGAGGACTTGCGCGACAAATTTGATAAAGTACAATCTCAAATTGAGGTAATCGTGACGGGTACAGACTCCGAGGCATCACATTTAGACGAGCGCGATGACTTTGAAAACGTCTTCTTCCCGTTAATCGCCTCTGCGCAAAGACATCTCGCGAATTTACGTGGTCCGCAATCACCCGCGAATTCCCCAAGCCACGCGTCATCACACGCTCCAGACGCGCAGATGATTCCCCGGATGCCGACTATTTTGCTACAGAATTTTGACGGAACGTACAACCATTGGGTGCGTTTTCGCGACACGTATTTGACGATGGTCGACAATAATGAGTCGCTCACCGATATTCAGCGATTTCACTACTTAACTTCAGCTTTAACGGTTTCCGCTGCGCGTATAATAGAATCGTTGGGTGTCTCGGAAGCGAATTATGGAGTTGCATGGGAGGCTTTAAAAAGACGATTCGAAGATCCTTACACTCTGGTCCACCATCACGTAAATGCACTGTTAGAAATCCCAAATATGCATAAACAAACTACCCACGCGTTTAGGGAGTTCATTGACCATGCGAATAATCAAATCGTGGCATTAGGCGCGTTAGGCGAACCGGTTAACGCGTGGGACACCATAGTCGTTACTCTACTATCGAAAAAACTGGATTCAATAACATACAATGACTGGGATACGCATGCCGAAAACCTACCACATGGTAGTAGGAAACGCCTCGACCGAGCAACTTCGAACCACCAGTCGGCCGCGCAGGTATTCGCAAATCAGACCCGTCAGGGTCGCGCGTCCAAAGTTCATGTCAAGACAAGTGCCGTAACGGCTCACGTCTCAAGTACGCGTAATCAATGCGTGCTATGCGAGGGTGAGCATCTATTACAACACTGCGGTCAGTTAAAGGCAATGCCAACCCCTAAGCGTCATGAAACAGTTAAACACCTTCAATCGTGCTTTAATTGTTTGCGACAGGGGCACAGTATCAAGGGTTGTACTCGGGGAACATGCAGAAAGTGTGGAAAAAAGCATAACACTCTTCTGCACCGCGAAGACGCGAAACAGGAGACGGTCTCCTTAGAAGCTCCGGTCGAAACAACCACTTCGTGCGTGTCTAATTCGGCTAGCGTCGTGACAGAATACACCGTACTGTCCACGGCAATCGTGTTTATCAAGGATAGGCAGGGTCGGAAACATGAATGTAGGGCTTTGCTAGATGTAGGTTCGCAAGCGAACTTCATAACTGAGGATTTACGCAATAGATTGGATCTCCCATATTCTCACATCGATGCAGCGGTGGGTGGTCTCGGTAGGGCACGCAATTCAATTCGGTCGCGGACAAACATCCATCTCAGCTCAAGGTGTAATATGTTCAACGCAGATTTGCCATGTCTGGTAATAAAAACCATTACCGATGACATGCCAAATTTGCCGCTAAGTAGCGTAAAGGTTTCAAGACCAACGGGCATCACACTTGCTGATCCGCACTTCGATCGACCCGCGCGAATCGACTTGTTAATAGGAACTGGCATTTTCTGGAAATTGCTGTGCATAGGATAGCACAAGATAGATTCAAGCGACTTGGTGTGGCAAAAAACGCGGTTAGGATGGGTTCTGGACGGTTGGGTAGTTTGGCTACCTGGTGCGAACGTAAAGGAAACCTCTACCTGCCACATGGCGACTAACGAACAATTGGACAGAGCGATTTCTCAATTTTGGGAAATTGAAGACAGCTACCCTACATCAACGCGGACTACGAACGCGGCGGACGACCCTAGCGAACGGCATTTCAAAGTCACGACGACACGTGACGATGACGGACGATACATCGTAAAAATTCCATTCACCAGCAAACTAAGCGATCTCAGCAAGTTGCGCACTCAGGCCGAAAATCGCCTATTAGGCATGGAGCGTAGACTCGCCAAAGACCCCGAACTACACAGGCAGTCTTGCGCATTTATGACGGACTACGAAACATTAGGACATATGACACGGATCACAGACAAAGGAGTCATTGATGAACGTCCTAACTACTATTTGTCACATCACGCCGTGATCAAAGAATTCAGCTTCACCACAAAACTTCGAGTCGTCTTTGATGGTTCCGCGAAAAGCTCGTCGGGTATATCATTGAACGACACACAGCTTGTTGGACCGACCGTGCAAAGCGATCTTTTATCTATATTGATCCGCTTTCGAAAACACCGCATAGTACCTTCCGCGGATATTGAAAAAATGTATAGATAAGTGTAGGTCCATCCAGAACACCGTCAGTTCCAGCGAGTTCTGTGGCGTTCGAGTAAAGATGCACCCATCGGTACGTACGAGCTAAATACAGTAACCTATGGAACCGCGTCGGCTTCGTACTTGGCCACGAGCGTATTACGTCAAGTCGGACTTGACCACGCACTCACGCATCCGTCTGCTAGCGGCGCAATCGTTGATGACTTCTATGTCGATGATCTACTCACTGGCTGTGAAACTGAGTCTGAAGCGAAGCAGTTGCGTCACGATTTAAGAGAAATATTAGAGCGGGCGGGGCTTTCGCTACGAAAATGGGCGAGTAACAATAGTAACGTCTTAAACTCACCGCGGCAAGATAATGGGATAGTGGAGATCAAGGTTTCCAATAAAGAACCAAAAACACTGGGGCTATTATGGATGTCACAAACCGATGAGCTCAGCTATTCGGTTAGAAGTCATCAACGGAAGCGCATCACAAAACGCGGTATGCTGTCTGAAATTGCGCAAATCTTCGATCCCCTTGGGTTAATAGGGCCAATAGTTACGAGGGCTAAACTATTCATGCAGCTTCTCTGGCAGTCAAGGGTGAATTGGGATGAGACTCTTCCTCAGGACCTGCAAAATGACAGACATTTCATCGATAGTTGTACCTCGCCGCGTAATTGCTAACGAGGCGATTCAGATCGAGCTTCATGTCTTTTCGGATGCCTCTGAAAGAGCCTACGGGGGGTGCATCTACCTGCGAACGGTGGACACCGCCGATAATGTAACAGTCCGCCTACTCTGCTCAAAATCACGGATGACACCACTAAAGGCGGTAATCCTACCCCGTTTGGAACTATGCGGTGCTCTACTGGCCGCCCAATTGGCGGCGAAGGTTAAAGATGCGTTTCGAATTCAATTTTCTCGCGAATGTTATTGGTCGAACTCCACGATAGTTTTCGCGTAGCTTAAGAGTCCTTCCAATAGGTGGAAAACCTTTGTGGAGAACCGCGTCTCCCGGATTCAGCAGATAATAAATTCTGGACATTGGAATCACGTACTGTCACCCGACAATCCTGCTGATATAATATTGCGCGGTGCCAGTCCTAGCGCACTGACCGAGTCCCATCTATGGTGGTTGGGACCTGCTTGGCTTGCACATTGGCCGTCGGTAGTGGCCTGTCCCCAGGAGATTCCTGAGGCGCGACAAGCCAGCACTTGCCTAACAGTTGCGCATCAAGGCAATCCACCCTCTGATCTCTTCTCGAGCTACTCCTCCTACTCAAGGTTGCGTAGAATCACGGCCTACTGTTTAAAGTTCACCAAAGCAGTGGCAAACAAGCTTTGGAAACCATCGTCGCAGCCCTCGAACACGCAAAGAAGTTCGGTCAGCTCACAATATCTAACCACGTGTGAACTGCACGATGCTGAAATGGTTCTAATAAAGCTCGCCCAAAGAGAGCAGTTCGGCCTAGAATTCACCTTGCTTAGTGCACAAAAATCGCTAACGCCTAAAAGCCCATTGCTACCGTTGAACCCGTTCTTGGATGAAAACGGACTAATCAGGGTGGGCAGTCGTCTTAAAAATGTGCCCATCCCTTACGATCAGAGACACCCGATGATTCTACCCGCGAAACATCCACTCACCGCGCTCATAATCACGTATGAACACAATAGACTGCTCCACTCTGGACATTAATTAACGCTAGCCGCAGTACGCACCCGATTCTGGCCCGTAACGGGAAAATGCGTAGTCAAACAAGTGCTATACAAATGTATTAGATGCTTCAGAGCCAACCCAAAGGGCACTAATTACCTTATGGGTGATCTACCTGCAGCTTGTGTAACACCTGCTCGAGCCTTCTCTACCTGTGGTGTCGATTACGCGGGGCCATTCATACTCAAGGAAAGAGGTCGCGCGCGAACCACGTACAAGTCCTACCTATGCATTTTCGTTTGCTTTGCCACGAAAACCGTCCATATTGAACTAGTCACAGATCTAAGTACCGATGCATTCCTCAATTGCCTGTATCGATTTATGTCGCGTAGGGGTCGGAGCCACTGTATGTATTCTGACAATGGCACGAATTTTGTAGGAGCGCGTACCGAGCTCAATCAATTATGCGCGTTATTAATTAATAAGGAACATAACGATCGTATCCAAAGAGCGTTGGCACAAGAACAAATACAGTGGCACCTTATTCCCCCGTATTCCCCTCACTTTGGTGGGCTCTGGGAAAGTGCGGTCAAATCCGCGAAGCAGCACTTGAAGCGAGTCATAGGGGAACAACGCTTAACGTTTGAAGAGTTGTATACGATCTTGACGCAGGTAGAAGCTTGCCTCAACTCCCGTCCGCTTCACCCACTATCCTGTGACCCCAATGACCTCAGCCCTCTAACCCCAGGGCATTTCCTTATTGGCGTCGCTCTAACGGCACCACCGCAGGCCGATCTGCTTCACTTGAATCAGAATCGACTAAATCGCTATCAGTTAATCCAGTACACAGCGCAACACTTCTGGAAACGGTGGCACCGAGAACATCTCCATGAGTTGCAGCAACGGCACAAATGGCAGCTGGACTCACCAGACAACGTCAAGGCCGGTGAACTGGTCATCATCCGAGAGGACAACACCCCTCCGCTGAAATGGCGACTCGGAAGAATCGCAGATCTTCACCCAGGCTCCGACAATACTTCTCGGGTGGTGTCCATCAAGGTGGCGGACGGCATCATAAAGAGACCCGTCACAAGAGTTTGCGTTCTACCCATAGAGGAAGTGCAAACATAACAGACCATGTATCTCTAATATTAAGGTCATTGCGTAATTAGTAACCATATCGTATAATAGTCTTAGGGCCTGTATATAGATAGCATGATAGTTTCTAGTATTAAGAATTCATGTATTGGAAGCATTCCTTTTGAACGTGTGCCGTTCAAGGTGGACGGGATGTTTGGTCTTCATTGTCACGGTTTATGACACGATCGCCCAGGAAAGCTGTTTTTGAGTCAGGATTTTGTTAATTACTTGCAGCTGTCGTTCCCAGTTCTTAGCGAAGGCAGTTAAATAATTTAGTTAATTTTAACGGTGCCTTTCGCCCCCGACAGCTCGCGGACATGTCATAAACCAGCAATTTCCGAAGGGTACACATATGTTTGTAACGGTACAAGGACCGAAAGGACAACCCGGAGGAAACTTCCCCGTGTTGCCAAACGTTCCGTCCTGCACGGACACTGTCTCCCACCCTTTCAGAACAGGGCGCGCTAAGGGCGTACAGAAGGGCGTGGGTGACATTTCTTAGGCACGCTGATTGGTCCCTAGAATTTGGAAATTTTCCTCCGATCAGCGTGCATCTATCGGTGCGTCCGGGGACTTACAAAAAAAAACCGGGACCGAGAGAGTCTACGAAAGAAAACGATAGAGAACCGAAGTCAATTCACTAGCAGTCCGGGTCCGTTCAGTGGTCCTTCGAGAAGGTATTAACGTCGGCACACCACGTGCAAAATTCAACAAAACTCGACAGTGGACGACTACCACGAGCATTTGACACTATCGGAACCTTTTGTTCGTTTTTATTCTTTTTATGACTACTTCCTATAGGGTGGTGTATTTTCGCTGTTGTCTAAATAGTTTCATGAAGGAATGAATCGTCACTTATGCTATCAAACGAGTTGTTGTCTGCTCGCAAGTTCGTACGCGTATCGTTATCTGTTTCAATTTCTCTTCCTTAGCCTCGTAAATTTTGTCGGATTCTAGTGTACTAGAACTAGTCTGGATCTGTCGAGATCTAATACTTCCGCGTAAGGTTAGGAACTTTACGTTAGAGTTCTATCAACGATTCGCTAGTGGAAGATCGTTCCCTACGTGGATACTGGTGCGCTGTTTTTATTCGTTTTCGTAGATTGTAAATGGATTTTCTAGAAGTGCCCGTTGAGAACTTTGTAACTGTTTGTCGTTTCTTTTTTGCTAATCTTAAGTGCGAAGTTTTGACTTTTTTACAAACTTGGCGTGTTTAACGGTATAGTGTTTGTCGTAAATTATACCTATGTGGTTCAGTTTTTTCATTTGTACTTGAGGTATTGGATCTTGGGGGTTTAGCAGTGGTAGACAGTACCTTGCATTCGTGTTGCTCGGTGATCTAGTAAAATTCGGTATTCTTTTTTAATAACGTGCTTAATGATTCTGCTACCTTCGCAAAGTCAGGTATAAATCGGCGGTAATAGCCGATAAGCCCTAAAAGTTCTTTTATATCTTTCTCTGTTCTCAGTACCGGAAATTCCTTCATTGCGCGTTTTTTTGGGATTAGGTTTAACACTATCTTCTGAAATAATATGACCTAAATGTGCTACTTTGCATCTTAAAAACTCACATTTGTTTGGCTGGAGTTGAAGGCCTGCTTTCCCTAAACTTACGGCAAGTTTTTTGAATTTTGCTTCATGTTCCTCAAGAGACCGCGCGTAAAGAACAATATCGTCGAGATATGTAAATAAATCCGTTTCTTGTAATCCCATTAACGTTTGGTCCATTAGTCTCTGCAAGGTTGCTGGAGCATTTTTTAAACAAAGGGCATTCGAGTATACTGATAGTGACCGTTTGTTGCGGAAAAAGCTGTTTTGTGAGCATGTGCGGGGTCCATGGAAATTTGATGAAATTCGAAGGCTAAATCAAACGTTGAGAAATATTTGGCAGAACCGAGTTGGTCGAGAATTTCCGTGATGTTCGATAATGGGTACAAATCACCTATCGTTTTGCCACTTAATCTGCAAAAACCGCAACCATTCTCCATTGCTTGTTACCTTTTGCATCTGGTTTTTTAGGAACTATCCATATCGGGGAATTATAAGGCGAGCTTAATGGTTCTACAATGTTTTCATTAAGTAATTTTGTGACCTTTTTTTCTGTACTTCCTCTTTATGTATTATGGGATGTGTGTATTGTTTAACGTGAATCGGTGTTTCGTCTGTTGTGTGTATAGCGTGTTTTACGAGTGTGGTCGCGGAGAGTTTATCGTCCGGTAGGTAAAAAAGATGGTTAAAGCTTTGGTAAGTTGTAAAACGCTAGATTTTTCCTCCAAGTTTAAATGGTCTAATTTTAGAATTTTGTGTAATTGAGAAACCCTCTCGGCTTGCGATGAATGTGATGCGTTGGATGCTACGGGGGTTTCTTCCTCTCGAGTTACGTCATTTATCGTTTTTGGATTTGACACTACTCTTATATATCTATTCTTTCGCATGTTTTATAGATGAAGTTTTATCTAATGCTACGTGTTCGCGGGTTCCTTTAAATTTAGGAAATTCAATGTGTTAACTTCGCCGTTGGAACTTGAATGGTTTTGTCGGTTTCGCTTATATTAACGGCATACGTATGAGCTATTCCCTTATTAGTTTTAAAAAGATACTCCCCGACGAGTATCTGGTCTCCGAGGTTTAATTTTTCTAATACTCCTACTTCTGTTTCTGGTGTGTCTGTTATTTTTATCGGAATTATTTTAGCCGTACGAGCTGGAATTGTTAATTCTTCATTTTGAAACGGTACCGTTACATTATTTGTTACGGTTAATGATTGTGACAAAAATGACAATATAGCTTTCTCTTTGTTTAGAAAGTCCGTTCCCAAAATACACCTTTGGTTGATTGGAAATGAATCTGATACTATGTGGAAAACGTGTAAATTATCATCGACCATTACACTGATTTCCGCTAAGGTGCTTGTAGTCTCCGCCGTTATTCCTTTTAATTGTATTCGGTTGCGTGCATTACATGGAGTATTTGGTTTTAGTGCGCTTTGCTTAATTAAATTGACCTGTGAACCGGAGTCTATAAGGAATTCTTGTAAAAATTGTTTGAATTGCTTTGATTCTAAAAGAACAACTGGAGTTTTATTTGTATTGTTTGGAATTGAATAAATCTGTGCTGTAACGGATATTGATAGGGGAGATTTTACTAATTTTTGTCCCTCAACTCGCCCGTCTGATGAAGTGGTGCCTTGTTCAACCACTTGCGGTGTCAACGAATTCAGAAACTCGACAGGATCTCGCACGAAGAATTTTGTCTTCACCTATTGTATACAGATACTAATTTTGTGCATTAGTGATTTTGTACAAAGTGGTAGATTTTAAAACAACCTGGGATATGTAATCCAATAAAGTTATCGACGTGTACAATATGTCGTCGGCAAATTTGGAACAAAAGCGTCACGACGTGCTTAGAACGTCTTTCCAGCGCAAGTGGTTAAATGATCTAGGGGTTTTACTTCTATGGTACGGACTTCCGCGCGTTGATTGTATCTTGGTTAGGTCGTTGTATCTAGCGGTTACCCTTCTCCCAAATTACGAATTCGGTACCGAGTAGGGTCGGTTTGCCGCCACCTGAAACGTACCGCAAGATAAAGATGCCGAAAACAAAAACCAAAAAACCGGACGGGAACATTGACGACGACAACAGCGCGACTCAGGACACGAGACGGGACACGACGAGAGGAAATGTATACGGGGTTCGCACGCGGAGCGCTACACAAAGCCCCACAAGCCCCACACGGGAGGCAGCTTTGAAAGCCGAGGGAGAGGCGGCGTTGCGCCGCATTCCATCCCCTACTGCCCCCTCGACTAGCAGGAAGGTAGAGATGGTCCCGGGACCGCCGACGATATCCGCTGCGATGCAATCTTTGCTGCTCGCATGCGAGGAACCTCAGGTGGAGCGGCTGAAGAGATGCAGGGACAACCTGGCAGCGACGAGAGCCGCCATGGGGTTACCTCCTCCAACTGATACCAGCCTGGAGGAATGGAACATGTTCACCCTGAAGGAGAACAGGCGCCGTAGTGGAAACACTATACCTCGAACGCAGGAGGTGGCGGAAACAGCCTTCAAAAAGCCAACGGGCCCGGCCTTGAAAGCCAAAAAGAAGAAAACCACCGCATTCGATGTGTTCGACATATCGTCCATCGACAATAGTGAATTGTCCATGGACGTGGATCTGGTAAGTGTAGGTGTCTACACTCGGGGGGAGGGTGGGAGCATCGACGAAGAGTCGATATACCCACCAGTGACGTGGACTGACGAGCATCGGAGGTTAAGCCTCCCACGCTCGTCAGTCCCAAGCCGAGGCGAGTCAGCTAGGGCTGGCCCGTCTTCGTATGGCCCGGGAGAGGGGGCATGTGCTGCGGTCTTCCCAGCACATGCTTGTCGTATAAGGGTGTATCTTCAATGTGTTTACAACTGGGGGGAGGTGGAAGGAAGCATAGACAAGCGTCTCCCTCCCCCATTTCGGCCCGCAGAAGGAAGACCGTGGGGGTTTAGTCGGTACGAATCCGACACTGTTCCAAGGCCCCCCCATGGGGGCGGGTTCGCCTATGAAGGTTCCCCCACGTAAAAAAAAAAGTGTAGCAAGTGTAAACGTGCATTATGTATGAAACATTCTACTTTTTATTGTAATAAATGCTCAGAAATTGCTTTCGCCAATGTCGTAGAGCTAGTGGAATAATAAACATATTTTTATTTGAGTAAAAAGTTTGTTTTTGTAAAAGTGGCCTATTACGCACAATGCGCCCGATCCTGTTCTTACTCACATTGAGCCTGACCGAGGGTCAACACCTTCCTTTTTTATCAGGCCGTATACACAGCGAAAAATATATTAAGTCAATAGGCGGTCAGTTAAATAAGCACGCAACTCGTATTACAGGCAGTACATTTATTGTTTAACAGGATAATTGTTATCCTGACGAGGTTTACAACATGGAACAGGCAGGCAGCTACCTTTGAACCTTTATTTGGGTGCCCGTGCCATCTGTGCAC